GAAGTACATGCCCTCAGCGGGAACCGAACCCGGGTCTCTCCAGACCGCAGGCCGACGCTCTGACCACTGAGCCAAACCGGCCAGGGCCAAAGAGAGAATCTTAAAAGCAGCAAGAGAAAAGCAGCTAGTTACCTACAAGGGAGTTCCCATAAGGCTGTAAGCTGATTTCTCAAAAGAAACTTTGCAGGCCAGAAGGGAGTGGCAAGAAATATTCAGAGTGATGAAAAGCAAGAACCTACAACCAAGATTACTCTATCCTGCAAAGCTGTCATTTAGAATCGATGGCCATATAAAGACTTTCCCAGACAAGAAAAAGTTAAAGGAGTTCATCGTCACCAAACTGTTATTATATGAAATGATGAAGGGTCTTTTTGAAGAAAAAGATAAAATATATGGACAAACAAAATGGCAATGAATACATATCTATCAACAATGGAATCTACAAATAAAATGAACAGGTAGAACACAAACATTCTCATAGATACAGAGAACATTTTGTTGGTTGCCAGATGGGAGGGGGTTGGGGGAATGGGTGAAAAAGGTGAAGGGATTAAGAAGTAGAAATTCATTGCTAGACTGACAAACCTCAAAGGGAAAGGGGTTGGGGGGTGGGAAGAAATAAACCAAAGAACTTATATGCATAACCAATGGACACAGACAATAGTGTGGGAAAAGGCGAGAGGGGGCGGGAGTGGGGAGGAAGGGGTCAATGGGGGAAAAATGAGGAACATCTGTAATACATTCTACATTCAACAATAAAAAAAAAACACCTAATCTGTACCCTAATTTGACCATCCAAAAAAGAAGTCTACTCTGATGGGTCTTACCGGGAACTGAGCTAATCTCAAACATGAAGAGAGCAGAGATACAAACAGAATCTCCACAAGTTAAATCAGAGCCATATTAGGTAGAGGAAAACTATTTTGCCTGTCAGCAGTATAAGCTTGAAAATCTTGGTCCATAGTTCCAGAATCCTTTTCATCCCTGATTCAACTCCAAATTTTTACATTACTTCAACAAACCTCCAAATGCTATAAAAAAAAAGTTACAATACTCAAAAATATTTTTCAAGATTCAGATTGCTTTCAGTAAACATATATAGACACTGTCTTTCAAAGAGCATGTTTTTGCCATGAGTCAAGCTAACCAGATGTTTTTACCATGTATACTATACAGAACTCAAGTTGCCCTGGCCCTTACCTAGACCAGCCCTTTACAGCATCCTACCTCACTTCCTCTTTTCAAGGCAATATTTGGACCAAGAGCCTTCTTTCCTGCCCCAACTCAAGTTCTCAATCTGGAGCACTAAAGGTCTATGTCTATTCAAGTTTGCCTATTTCTAATAAAACCTTTTTTAGGGAGAAGACAGAGTATCAGAAGTAAGTATATTCCAACACCTACCAGAATGAGAGCCTACCATGTGCCAAAAGACTCTTTTAAGCTATTCACTTGCATATTCAAATCATTTTACAAAGTTCCATATTCTACTTACATTTTTAATTAAAAACAAATTTGAAGATTAAATAGGTAACTAGCCCAAGTCTGGACCACAGGATAGCTATAAACATGAGTCAGAATGCTTACTGACTTGATTAAAGTTGTCAAGGGTGTAGAAAGCACTGGGAAGCCCACACTCCTGCAAGTTTTTAATCTGCTTGGCTATTTACAACCGCCCACCTTTCTATGCTCACACTCATCCAAGGCATAGCAGCAAGGGTAAGAGCTACCTTTGTAGAAGGAAAGGCACCTATTTATTTTCCCCTTCCCAATTACCACCAAATTCCCTGAGGATCATAGTTGGTTCTAAGAAAGGATTTATCAAAGCTCTTCTCTGCACATAGAGTTCAATGGAACTGACATAAACACACCAGCCACCTAAAGACCTTCCCATTGACATTCTTCTCCTGCTTTTTAAAGGTCCAGTGTTTTGTCCTGGCCAGTTTGGCTCAGCAGTTGAAGCGTTGGCCAGTGGACCAGAGGGTCTCAGGTTCGAAACCGATCAAGGGCACAAAACTCAGTACCTCAGTGTCAGTTTGATTCTCAGCCCTGGCTGGGGTCATGCAGGAGGCTGCCAGTCTATGTGTCTCTCTCACATTGATGTCTCTCTCCCTCCCTCCCTCCCACTCTATCTGAAAATCAATAGAAAAATAGCCTCTGGTGAGGATTAAAAAATTAAAAAATAAAAGTTCAGTGCTTTCTGCAAAACATCTCACAAAATGTGATCATCCTAACTAGTCCTATTCTCCACAAACACTGCCATTTCTATGCCTAAAATGGGTACTGCTTTTTAGCAATGGTACGGTTATGTCTTCTCATCTCCCTCCTCTAACCTCACCAAGCTGTACTTGGAACAAACAAGCTTGAGCTCCTAACATCAGCAGGGTTCTTAAGTGAAGCAGAGTGATAATCATGCTCTCCTAAAATATTGGAAAGATATAAATGGGTGTTTTAGGGGAAAAAATAAAATAAAATAAATAAAAGTTGTACATGCCTAATAAGGACCAACAAATCCACATTATGGTCTGGGTTTCTGACCACAAGGAGAACCAGAGAGCTTTTTAGTATAAGTTATTTCTAAAATTACCAACAATTTCCTACACTTTAAATTAAGCTGTCCTTTCCTTCCATCCATTAAATAATCTCATTTAATAAGACTGACTTAAATCACTAATTGCAATTCTCATTACAATAGAAATAGTTGTGGTACACTTGTACCTTTGTCAGTGAAATGCTACAAGAAAAAAAAAATCTGACTGAAATCTCCAAAAAGCAGCACCCAGTGCACCATCTAGTGGAAGTCAAAAAAGGACAGAGATTCTACATTAAGAACACAAGCAACTACTTTATAAACAGTCTAAAGTCTCCTTCCAATTCCTCACACTTCAAGAAAGCTGTGACCATCAGAAGACAGGGCTTATTTTCCATACAAACTGACAGAAGATAAAGGTTTCTTCATGAAAATTTTCCTTGGATGCTAGAAATATTAATTTGACAGTAGAGGAAAAATTAAGTGAAAGTATTAATGCAAAAACAAACAGAATCGGCGCAAAGATGACAGGGCTTAGATGCCTTATATCCTACATAAATAAATTATATCAAAATATACATGTTAGATGCAAGAGATGAAAACAAGGAATTATTTCACCACTAGAACAGTTTTATTCAGTTATTCATAAAATATTTCCATGTTCTTGAAGACTAAATTTAACATAAAATAACCATTCTCTTGACTTCCCCAAGTCTTGACATCATTCAAAAGGTTCCTCCCAAATAACCACCTAATCTTGCTCTCCATTAACACGTACAGTCCCTTCATTGACTTATTCTCATTAAGTAATGATTTTTACATTTTCAACGTTTCTATCAGATTTATAGTAAAAATTTCTAAAACAGTCATAAGTTGTGACCAAAATACATTACACTTCATATTTATTTGCTTTATGCATATTATTTCAATTCAAATTTAAAAACACTGCTGAAGTCCACTGATGCAAATATAAATAAGGTTCTTTAATTGGAACACCTCCCAAAATTTAAAATAGTTTTTCACATAGCACCACTTAGTTTTGTTTTGCCTGTATAAAAAAATACCTTTCTGGTGTGATTCAGACTATCTTAGCAACCTCAGAGGGGAAAAATCTAACAGACAGTGTTTCTTTACTCACAAACAACCATCTCCATCTCTGACTCATGTACATGTGATCAAATGGGTTTCCAGAAGCTTGGTTGATGGTGGGGACCTTGCTGGTCCTGGATTAAATCCATTGCAGGTAAAAAATCTAGTAGGAGTCAAGTAATCTGGGGCAGAACTCCTTTCATCTCTAGGGCGTTGAGTTTATGTACCAGTAAAATGATTATGATAAATACTACTTGCCTCCTGGAGGGTAGGAGGATACTAAAATTGACGCCATGCTTTGAGCTTCTCAATTAAAAGACTTAAATGGGAATACTAGTGTGTAGAAGAGAGTGCACCTGGAAAGGGAGAACACTGCTCCAAGAGTCCTCACTGTGTCATTACTACTAAAACTTCATCATTTCTCTTGTGAACAGATGGTGAATGAAAAAGGTTATTAAATACGTCAAAGAAACGGCAACAGCAATTCCAAGTGGTTCTTTATATGTAAGTCAAATCTTACAGTTAATTGCCTAGAACTTGACTGCAAAGTGTTACTGCATGAATAGCAGGTACATCCTAAAACTCAGAGATTGTTTATAAAGAGGCCCTTTTTAAAACAAACTTGAAAGCTGTTTAAAAAATTAGGAGAAAAAAAAAAGTGTAAGTCTACTCTCACCATGAGAGTGACAGAAACAAGGTCCCACCCCCACAGTCCTTTCAAACCTGCACAGGCATTCCTCACCGGCATTCCTCCCCCTCGCGGCCACCGCGCCGCTCCCCACTTCAGCGCAGACAAAGGTGAGTCACCCTGCTTCTGTCTACTTGTCACTTGAGAAAAAGCCTTCAAACAAGTTCATGTTAAAGGCTGCTTTTCATTTAAAAGCTAATAAGCAATGTTAATGTGTAAATCTCACTGCACAGCGCCTGTCTCCAAAAAACGTGCAATTAATACTACTCAAATAGTGACACCTTTCTCAATTAAAAGAAAAAAAAAGGGCCTCTTTTAAATTGAGTAGCTTATCGCTACTATCAATGGGTCCTTTTCCCTCGGGTGCCTGACTGACTCAAGTCGGCGTTTTCTCCCTCCACCTGCACGTCCTCCGCCCTCCGCTGGGCCCAGCCGCCTCACCCCGAGTCTTGCGAGGTCCCCAAGGGGTCCCGCCCGCAGCTGACCAGGCCCCACGCCCCCCGTCCCCGCCCCCAACTCTCCGCAAGGTACCGCCGCCGCCCCCGCGGGCTCCGTGGCCGAGGCGCGTCGAGGCGGGCGGGTGGCCCCAGGTGACTCGTCCCGGCCACCGCCGGCCGGACCTGCAGGGGAGCGGATCTCATCGCCGGCACCGTGCGAGGTGCTCCATTCGGCACTGCAGCCCGGACGCCCAATTACCTGCTTTGGGATGCCGTGGCCGCGGGAGGCGTGCTCGCGCTGGCCCCTGCAGCCGCGGGCTCGCAGGCAAGGAGACCGGCAGCAACGGCGGCGGCTGCAGAGGACAAACAGAACCGGCGGGCGCGGAACGCACGATCCTAGCGGGAGCCGGGCCCCCACCTCCGGCCTGGGGAGTAACCGACTCGACCCCTCCCTCTGAGGGGCGGGGGCCTGGAGGAGGGGAGGGGCCATGGCCGACGGGGCGGGGCGAGGCCTCACCTCCCGCTGGGCGTGAACGCCGCGGACTCTTTGTATGAGGCGCCTGCTGATTGGCTGCATTAGGGGCAGGCGTCTCAGACTTGAAGACCGCTTCGCCAAAAACGCTCTCTGATTGGTCGGTGAGAAAAAACAAAGCAGAGCCCTGATTCATGACAGCTCTGTTGCTCCTCTCCCCTACTTTCAATCATCGGAAGCTCCGCCTCCACTCGCTTAATTCCCAGGTGGCTGTAGAATAGGCTGTGGTTAATGGACCGGAAGCTTACCTGCACAGGACTCAGGACACCCAGATTCCTTTGCCATATGTGAGGTTCCTTAGCCCACAGCAGGTCTTTGATTTGCGTATGAACTTGGTGAATCATATCTAATCTTTAACATCACTTGGATTTTGAGAAGTCTCTTGGGCATTTTTTAAAAGATGCATAAGATTCAGAGGGAAATAGTGATATACATAGAAAAGCCATAAAGTGTTTTCACCCCATAAGATTATGCGTGACTTTATTACCTTTATGTGTTCCATATGAAGCATGTATTACTTTCATAATTTTTTTAAAAATAGAAAATGAGTAAGGTGCAGAGAATAGTAATGGCAAACTTTTGAGGATATCCAGGGAACTAATTCCTCCACCATAGAAGACAATATAGTATACGAAACAGCTGAGTGCCATTAAAGAAATATGTGTTGATATCAGCCCCCTTCAGCTCCCTTATAGAACTTTACAAATATGACTGAGGTGCCCTCATACTCTTTTCTGAGTAACTACCATTTATCCAACACATAGTATAGAATGCACTACACTGTAAACAGATCCTCCCTGACAGGAAGAATTTTGAATCCAAAATATCAAATAAATAAAGCTTTAATCAAAAACAGTAGAGGACAGAAAGCAATTCAGAAGATATAAATTGGAAAACTTGGCTAATGCAGGGAACTATAAGAAAGGAATGTGACCATGTGACCGAGCCTCAAGATGTGACTCAGACTTTGAAAATTAAAAGCAGGAAGGAGGAGGGCCAATTGAGATGATTATCAATGACCCATAGTTAAGTAATCTGACCTCCAGACTACATCAGCCAAGCCTCAAGTCAACATAGCTTACTTGGGGACCACACTCACTTAACTCTGTCTGGCTGCCTTACTGTTCTATTTGTTCTTGCCATGCCCCTGAGGTTCTGAAATATGCTATTTGAAATGAAGCACTTTCCCCAACAATGCTATAAATTTAATAGTAGTAAAAAAAACTGTATGTTTACAAAATAAAACAAACCTAAGGAAGGAAAGGAATGTTTAGGTAAACACTAATTTGTATAGAAGTAAGGACAAACCCTGGCCAGTTTGTTAAGTGGTTAGAGCATAGACCTGAAGACCAAAGAGTTGTGGGTTCGATTCAGGTCAAGGCCACATACTTGGGGTGCAGGTTTGATCTCTACCCTGGTCAGTGTCGTGCAGGAGACAACCAATAGATGTCTCTCTCACATCAATGTCTCTCTCTCTTCCTCCTTTCCTCCATCCCTTCTACTTTATATAAAAATCAATGGAAAAATATCCTGTGGTGAGGATAACCAAAAAAAAAAAAAAAAGAATACACTGGAAGGAATCAAAAGTAGATTGAATGAGGCAGAGGATCCAACCATTGATTTGGAAGATAAGGCAGAAAAAAAAAAAAAAAAACAATTAGAGCAGCTAAATAAAAAGAATTAAAAAGCAGGGGGATAGTTTAAGAGAACTTTGAGAAAACATGAAACCTAGAAACATCCACATGATATAGGTACCAGTAGGAGAAGAAAGTGAGCAAGGAATAGAGAGCCTGTTTATAGAAATAATGAAAGAAAATTTCCCTAACCTGGAGAAGGAAAAAGTCACACAAGTTCAGGAAGCACAGAGTTCCAATCAAGATGAACCCAAAAAGACCCACTCCAAGACATACCATTAATAAAAATAAAAAGGGGGGGAAAGGGCCCTGGCTGGTTTGCTCAGTTGGTTAGAGTGTTGTCCCATACAGTAAGGTTTCAGTTTTTATCCTCAGTCAGGGCACATACAAAAATCAACCAATGAATGCATTAATAAGTGGAACAACAAATGGATGTTTCTTTCTTTCTCTCTTCCTCTCTAAAATCAATCAATAAAAAAGAAAAAGAAAACAAGAGGTGATAAGTTGAACTTAGACCATTAGCAGACTTATGAGGGAAGAGATCTAGCCCCACTATGGAGGGCCAATCAGAGGGAATGCTGGGAAATGTCAGAGTATCTCAATGCATACAGCTGATAGTGGCAGATGAATCGAAAGAAGCAGCAACTAAATAAATTTTTTAAAGTAAGTTAAAATGTATGTAGTCTTTAAAATATGTGGTACAATGCTTCAGAGTCACTGGAAAGTCACCTCTGCACTCCAATAATAGAGTTCAAAAGTTAATTATATAGAGGGGTATCTTATACAATTCCAAGGGCAAAAACAAGTCAGTCCTCAGGAAGGCCAGGAACCAGGACCAGAAAAGCCATGAGGGTCTCAGCTGAAGTTTTTTTTATTCTCAACCCTGCCTCTATCTACATTTCTGCTCTATTTTTCTCTGGAAAATAGTTTTTCCAACTCCCAAGTCTATGAGGCAGAGTAAAGCTACTTCCCAACATACACACAGATGGAATCAACCCCATTGACTGAATCCCAAATTCTATCTAGAGAAAATATTATTGGCCCAGCTCAGTCTCCCCTTCCCTCGACCCCTATCACTTATGATCAAGGAGGTGATGAGGAGGGGAGTCATCAACTCCCTGCTAATGGACCGAGATTTCCCGAAGAAGAAGAAGGAACTGGGCAGATTACCAGATGGGGATCATCATGTCTCCCCACATTTTTGTGGGTTTTTTCTTATTTGTTTGTTTTTTAAGGGTAGTTAATTTTTTCTTTAAATAATTTTTATTTTTCAATTACAGTTGGCATACATTATATTAGTTCAGGTATACAACCCAGTGATTAGAAATCATATAACTTACTAGGTGATCAACCCAGTAAATCTTGTACCCATCTGACATCATACATAGTTATTACAATATTATTGACTATATTCTCTATTTGTATTTTATATCCCCATGACTATTCTGTAACTACCAATTTATACTTCTTAATCCCTTCTCCTGTTTCACTCATTCCCCCCCAACCTCCCTCCCATCTGGCAACTGTCAAAATATTCTCTGTATCTATGACTTTGCTTCTGTTCTGCTTGTTCATTTATTTTGTTTTTTAGAGTCTATTGTTGATAGGTATGTATTTGTTGATAGATATGTACTTACTGTCATTTTAATATGACAGTAAAGACATAAAATGTACTTACTGTCATTTTATTATTCATATATATTTTTTTCTTCTTAAAGCAGACCCTTTAACCCCCTGAGTTTTCAATAGTCAGTCAGTGGGGCTCTATTTTCTACTCAGCAAAAGTCTGCCTGTCTTATCACACTAAAATGAAGGCCCAGAGGCCAAAGCTAAAGCCTTCGATGTTGATTTCTGGCTTTCTTGAAATCTTTCTCCCTATTTCAGTTGTCTTTTCCAGTTTCAAGTTGCCATTCCCATTTAGGTCTTCTGCTAATTCCCAGTGTCCCTGTCTAAGTGTACCTCATGACCTCAGTTTATTCAAAGAGCAAAAGCACGTGCCAAATTGGCGAATGCCAGAAACAGTGCTCTTGGCTCTTATGCGACCAGCATGTAGAACAAGCAGAACAGATGAGATGATGGAAGCAGAAGGCCAACCTTTGCTTCCCACTGCACCTTCCATATGTATTCAGTGGGAGATCAGCCCCTGGGCCGGGATGAAAATTTGAGCAGTCGCATAACTTTTCTGATGGCTCTTAGGTAATAAAAATCATTTGATTGGTTTAAACCACAAAATACAGTTTTCATTCAGAAATTTTAATGTGAATGCCAATGATCAACACTTCAAGCTTCATTCAAAGATGGGCCTTTCCTCCACCTCCCCAGCTAGGGTCCAATGCAGGCAGGCTGTGTTCTCCCAGAAAGGGGAAGAGGAGTTTTCTTTCTATCCCCACGGATCCCCCTCCAATTCATAACAAAAGGATATTGGGAAAGTCTGAGGAGAGCAATTATGTGCAACTGGTGCTCTCCCAGGAGGGTTTTCTCTGGGCCTGGCCAATAACTAAAATTTACACTCCCCCCTCAAGTGCTTTCTGACACTCTTAGACGCCTGAAAGTGCAATATCTCACTGGGCAATTAAATCTAGTCTGGCTGCCACCTCCATCATTGGTTTCTGGTTCCTTGAAGGCCACTTTATACAGATTCTCCTATTGGGGGCAGGGGGTACCTTGGCCTCTCCAAGTGTTCCTCCTGAGCAGGATTTGAACATCTCTAATACAGTCCTCCTTCACAAATGGCTCTCATGTGGTCCTCAAGAAACACCGGTGCACTGGTCCCATGAGTAGTGGATATGCAGCTAGTTCCCAGAGCACATAAGCCGTGAGTATTCTCTCTCCTTCTCCCTTGTCTTTTCTCTCTGAACTGCTGCTTCCAGCTATACCTCCTGCCTCTCAACTTTGAATATTTCCATTAAACGTCAGGCACTCCAAATACCAGAGAACACCAATCAAGTTGCCCTCATGATCCTCTTGACACCCTCTCTCTTGAGTGGTTAGGTGAGACTCAGCATTGCTTTCCTTAAGAATACTTTTCATAGACCCTTACTAAACACTTCCGCAGCCCCTCTATGATCTTATTTTAAGTGAGGGTTTTATTTTTATTTATTGATTTTAGAGATAAAAACATCAGTATTTGTTGTTCTACTTATG